CCTTCGGGGTTTGTGCTGAGATATTGTTGGCACTTCTTGGGGCCCCATATGATTGGGGAGAGGACCCCAGACGTGTGCATGTTCTGCAAGATACACAATTCTGACCAGCGATGAAGCTTCTATTTCATGATAGGCTTCTATTTTGTGGTCTGAGCATGTCTGATGTTCAAACAGTTTCACTAGGGTGCAGATTAAGGCTTTAATCATGAACCTGCAAACAGATAAACAGCCAAGCTGCATTAAAAAGCCAAGTTCAAAAGGCTTGCATCTTGGCCGGATAGACATTTTGGAATGTTGACTACCGACCTGATTCCAATCGGGCATCCTGGTGCAGTTTCTGTTGCGACAGGCTACACGATCCTAGGTGTTTGTATATATTGTAAAGATATCATTGTCACGGAGTCTGTAACGAAGAAACTCCAGGGAGCCAGGGTCAATGATCTGCCATGGTTGTATAGTGTGATAGTTTGAATAGTACCGTTCGGATGTTGACTATAGGGTGATGATGTCCCAACAAATGCATACAAATGCTAGCTTGATCTAGCTTGCATCCTTGAAGAGCACAATTTAGACCAATGTCGAGATGATTCTGACCTGTTTTCCTCGATATTCTTCTCACAAACCGACTATATACTGTACCTGACACTGACTTACCTATGATCACTATAATAACCCGATTATACTCGCATGTTATCATAGTTCCTTCGAGCATTCAGCTCCAGACCTCGAATCCTCGTTTGCCGAGGTCAGACATGGCTCCAAAAACTCCTTTACGTTGCTTGGCGTTTCTGCAGAATTGTGGAGTTTTATGGAGTTTTAATGGACCATCTAGCAGCATGTGAAGTATCTTCACTTGGCTTCTGTATGCATGAAGTATCATGAAGTGAGATTCAGGAGTCAAGTGAAAGGGCCGGCAGCAGTTGATGGGCAGTGGAAATGCACCCGTGGGCTCCAAATGATCCAATGGTTGCTTGACATGTGCACAGCCGGAAGCGCTCAGTTAGCCAATGCTGGCAGTGAGAATACTATCCTGTGCGTTAGCACAAGTGATGTGAACATGGACTCAGGTTTTTCGAACGGTATGCAATTGAAGGTCCATTCAGTAGTATGAATTAAACTTAAGAGTCATGGTCTAATATTTTGTCTGATTTCTGAGGCACTTCTTCATCTTCAGCATAACTGCTGGGAACCCGAACTCAACCAAACATGTCAAGCTCAAACAGAGCGAATCATTCAGACTTAGCCAAGGAGGACAGCCCACAGAGCGATACGGCCATCCCAAATGAGATTGAAACTCGTGCAACATCATGCAACTTTGCTAGTAGATTCTTTCCCTGTTAAAAAACTGCACCACTCAAATAATCTTTTGAACATTTTTGAACCAAGACCCCTCAACAGTTTACAAGTAGGACCAACCAAAGATCTGAACATCAGAGCTGCATTGGGCTGCTGCTAAAGGCCACCCGCAGCTTGCAATTCCTTTACCTCTGGGGCTGCCCTGCAGGTGCCCTGATGGAATGCAGAAGATCCTTTAAGAGACATGCCAGATAGCTTGCTAATATATAATATATTATATAATATACACTACACGTCACTAAACTAAACATTACCAAGCGGATCCAAGCGGCGTGGCAAACATGACCAACAACTGGAGGTATCTTTGATGGTGAGATCTACCCGCACTTGCCGGGCGCACCTTCGTGGGGGCAGCCAAGTCCTATTTTCAAGATCAAATATGGTCAAATAATGTCAAATATTACGTATATTTACGTACATGTGTGTGTGTGTGGGTGTGTAACAAGTACATTGCTAAGTAATTACATACAAGTACCGTATCTTCTATCCGCAATAGCAGATGATAGCAGATGTGTCCTGTCGGAATGCATTCATCAAGCCCCACTGCTGTCAACAAGCAGAAATGTGGCTACTGGACTTCCTGCCGGTGAACTGGAGTCATTGAGGGACTTTCATGGACTTTTTACATTGCTTCATACTTTCTCGGCAACGAAGGAAAGGCGCCTAAAGCCATTGGAAGGTAAGAGAAGATAGCCAATATATTCAGACAAACTCACATTGTCTTTACCGACAACAGTGCAGGCATAGATTTGATTTAGGAAATAATGATTGTGTTGACAATTTCGATCAGTTTAGACACAGTCCAATATGCTCCATCATTATCCATGATTATCCATGATTATCACTCGGCATCAAGTTGCAGTGAAGGTTCGAGCTTTGCTTGGCAGCCGTGCTTCTGCAAGTGATGCAGGCACAGGGAGCCGGCGGATACTCTCCTGGAAGCACAAAGCACATTGAGTTAAATTGGAACCTAATAAGGCAGATCGCTCTGAGTTTCCTCATATTTGAGAGTGCAAACAAAGAGACATGCAAAAATTGTCGGTGCACAGTGCACAATTACAGGTCAAGCTGGAACAACATGGAAGAACATGTGGAAGAACATTTGGAAGAACTTAATGGCGGAGAATGATTTATGTAGTGGCAGTATTTTTTGATATTTTTTGTCCATTTTTGTGCAGGTCTCCTTGATGGTCTCGCAGCGCCGCCTAGGGCCAAGGCAGGGTGCCGGTGCGGTGGATGTGGTGGATGTGGTGGATGTGTTGGATGTGTTGGATGTGTTGGATGTGTTGGATGTGTTGGATGTGTTGGATGTGTCTCAGCGTCCAGGGTCAAAGCGTCGGTCAAAGGATGGTTGAAATATGCCGAGTGAAATGTCATGAAATCTATGGAAACTTAATGAAACTTACTTGTAAAGGAATAAAGTACAAGACTACTGCACCAGTCCATTGTGTAGCTAGGAAGGATAGACAGTTATCATGCCATATTGTTCCATCATGTTGGATGTTCTTGGTGTAGAATGGACTGTCAACTGCATGGCACAGAACACTCTTCCAGGCACATAGATGATTGTTCAGTTTGCTTTTATTTTGCTTCCACATGTTCATGGAATTTTGTTTCATTGTTTTTGAATGGCTGGCTTGAGCATCTTGAGCTCTGGTCAGTTCATGTCAGTTTACTCCTGTGGGACTTTTCTGCCAGGTGGTTTGTCCCCTGGCTGTGCCTGCCGCACGTTTACAATTACAGGAGATTCCTTCAGGCCAAGGGACATCGGGGGACTTCTGGCAAGCACTTCCAATCTGAAAGACAGGATACAGATGGATACAAGATACATCAAGAAAATCAAGATACACAAATTGAAATTCTCCAAGAGGTCTCCACTAATCTGACAAAATCTCGCAAATTTGGTTGCAATAAACTTTCTTTCCAATGTGATAAAGTCATGTGCAGGCGCCTCCTCTCGGCTCAGAATGCGTCATTTGTATGCTCGAAATCACTTCAGAGGCACGTTTTGGCTAGTGATGGCTGTCGTGGTTCAGAAGTGAAGCCACTTTTTGAATACTTCCTGGGTCTGCCAGAGCTCAGTAGCTTGATCTCGATTGCTTTCGTGGTTGTCAAACCTTAGGGATATTGACGTGGTAGAAAACTCATTCACAAACGGCTGCATGAAATTCTGCTGTGAAGGACGGAGTGCAGATTGTAACGACACCTTGTGAACATCGCTTTCACGTGTCTTGCTTGGAAAGGCAGGGACGAATTACTCAACAGCTAGTTTCTTGCTCTCCCTCAAAAGTGTGTAAATCCAAGTCCCAGCTGCTTTGAAGCTTGAAGCTTTGCTAGTCCATTGAGTAAGAATGCAGTTTCTTCATGTTCTTCCTCGATCTAGCTGACCCGCTGCTAGCACATGATTACAGTATTCAGAATCTTTTCATATTTTTCATGGTAGCCATAGCTTTACTTCGTCAGTACCCCTTGAGAATCCTTGAGACAGAGTGCTAAGCGGATCCTGATCGCGTGGTTTCTCAGGTGGATGGATGTAAAGATGGAGTGTCCAACGTGCCGAAGGCAACTGCCTCCAATGTGAGGCAGGTCATGCTGAGACATGCCGTAAATTTCTGAAAAAAGACAGAATCTCCACCTAGTGTTGTGTCAAAAAGATTCAAAAAGTATGAAAATTATGAAACATGTTGTTCAGTTGTGTCGCACAGGATCCTGGCTTTTCCATGAATCCAAGTGCACAGATGTCATTGTGCGTTTTGCAAAATGAGGTTTCCTATGTTTCTTGATATATAAGTTGTGCTTTTCAGATTGATGCCAGAAATTCCAGTTCATTTGCGAGTCTGGCATTTCAATGAGCTCCATTGCCATACCAATGTGTTGGCCAGCGCTACAGCCTGTGTAGGCAAGATCCTGATTCTGAAAGAGCGTTGCATGCCGGGTGCATGGTACAAGAGGTATAAGCACATTGTTCAACATGGTTCAAATCCCCCGAAGTCACACAAGAAATCAAAGAGAGTTTTGCAGCAATCCTAACTGGCAAAGCGGTGATGTACGAATCCTTAGCATGCTGCCTTTGAAATCCTTTGAAGTGAACATCCTGTGACAAGTCCTTTGGGCTTTGTGCCAAGACTGATCATGATCCCACAACTTGATACAACTTGTATACATACAGGGCAAACCAGTACAACGTCCGCAACGAACTATTTGGTTTGCCCAACATACACTTAACGCATCTTAACGCCTTCAGAAGGAAAGGGCCCAAACCTGCAAGACTCGACAGCAAGAGACGCCTTGGTTTTGCTTTCTGCAAGTGCTTTAATTTCATGATCCCAATATTATTCCGAATTCCAATATATTCCAATCAGATGTGCTACACGCTCAGATGATCTCAGATGCACTGCTTGATCACAGTGGCAGCTTCATTTCCATAGATTCCATAGCACATCCATGGTGCTGCGCAGGCCCAGCTGTGTATATACCGTAATCATTTCAAGCTGAGGGTTGAAAGATGTCAAACGGCCGTTTGTCGAACATAATGGGTGACAAGATTCAGCCAACTTGGCCAACTTGTCTTTTCAAAATTTCCCTCTGGAACTGAATCAACGACATTTTGCAAGTGGTTGATAGTTGTCGGTCCTGAGAGATGCTTTGGAGGCCTAGTAAACCAGGGGAAGGAAGTGCTGTCCTAAGGAACTGCCAGCAATGGATGATGGATGTCCAAGTAAACTGCCCTCCCTGAAGGAGGTTCCATACTTTGTTTACTCCGTTGACTCGCTATTCTATTTGCACAGAAACATGTGAAAGGTAGAATGTGAGTCCAACACGAGCAAGATCAAAAAATAACTTTTGCCACTCACATCCTGCAAGCCACAATTTGACTCCATGGGCATCCTGTCCTTTTTGCTGGTCCTGAGTTTGTGCTCTTTAGCAAATCGATGGTCTTGCAACTGTTGATGCACATCTGGATGCGAACAGAACACAACACTCAGGCGTCGGGGGATTGACTGCCGTGGTGCCCTCAGATAATATTTAATATAAATTCATGCAATTTCAACAAGAATGGTGTTTGAGGGGCATGTGTTGTCCTGGTAATGATGTGCTACAAGCTGTTTGGAAAGTGTTGTAAGCCTGTTGGAAGCCAGCAAGGAAGAACGCTCTCAGGTGCCTATGGCAGAGTCATGGCGCGGCCTGCGAAAGCGCTTGCAGAAGCCAGTGGCCAAAGGCTGGAGTCCGCTGGAGCAATGGAAGCGTCATAAAGCGCCACATTGCTGAGATTTGCTGAGTGTTTTGAAGATCTTTGGAGATCTTTCAGATGTTTTTTTCGAAAAAACTTTCAGATTCTTTGGAGATCTTTGGAGTTTTGCCGAAGTGATAGCAAGTCTGGGAGAGGCCAGTGGCCTGGACTTGCTGCATGCGTTTTTGTTTCAAAGAGCTTGCGCTTGGTGGAAGAAATTGGCTACGCAAGGAACTCAGGAACAGGAGACGATGTGGAAATTAATGCCTTTTGAATCCTTTTGATGTCTTTTACAACTTTGAACTGCTTTTGTTGTATGTTTCTTAGTTTTGCATGCTCACCCACTGCCCTGGAGGCTGACCTTGAAGCCAAAAGTCCAATGACACGAAAGACATTGATGAGGGTCTGCCGTCTTCACGCTGTTTGAACGGATGTCGAGATAAATCTAGCCGACTTATCTATCGTATCATATCGTATCTAATAATTAATAGGATAATATAATAATTATAATACAGGATATGTTCAGCGTTTTAAGCCGGAAGTAAAAGTGCTGTGAGGAGTTCTTGCAGGAAAACCCATGAACAATCATATTTTTTGCACTTTGCTACCAGACAGTTGCAATTGCAGTGTTTCAGAAAAAAATGCAGAATGGCACCACGGTTCAGTATATAGATGTAGGCATTCTGTCGGCTTCTTATGCGTATGGCTTTTTGAAGTTGCACTTCATAACAGAAACAGCTTTGGTTTGTCCATGTTTGTCTCAGATCATCTCAGATCTACTCGATGACAAAGTGCATCGTTGCGGCTGCCGTGATGCAGCTCCTCGAGGAGATCGGGAAGCAAATGACCCGAAATGACCCGTTTATTGCAGTTTCCAACCAGTGCAGTTCACAGGGTTTTACAGTATTCTTTGATTGCCCTGAACATGCTAATTAGGTAGAAGTGCAGCCTTAGATCAGAGGCCACTCTCTGTAATTAGTTCTCGGGAAATAATATATAAAATCAATTGAATCTCTATATTATATTTATATAATTATATAATATTATATATATAAATAGTAGTATACGGCGTATTTGCATATATTATACGCATGTATTTGCGCCAATAAAAGGGTCTAAAAGGAAACATGTGCAGCAGTAGGCATTGCACCTGCATGGAAAGTCTATACACACATACGTATATATAATTTATTATAATTTTATCATATATTAATATATATAAAATTCATGTGTATATATATATATATATATATATGTATGTATGTATATATATATATACTTGACCCTCCGAACCCGCAAAATTCGCAGGGTGGCACTTAAAACCCAGGGTTTCAAAACAAAACCCAAGGTTTTTCGATTTCCACAAATTTCAAGACCATGCCCCCAAATGCTCTGATTTTATTAATGCGGTGGGTCCTCAAAAAGTGTTGCATTTCTGTCCAGTCTACTGGTCATCGACGCCCAAACACAAGCCCAACACACAACAAAAACATATTATATTTTCACCAGTTCCAAGGGGTTCCAACCCATGTTTATATCATGGGTGCACACGGGTAAATTACGGGTTGAACATGGGTTGAACACGGGTTAGAGAAAACCTGGTTATTTTCAAAATTCACGAGGTTTAGCCTACAAACCCTGGGTATTCCTCAAGAAAACACGGGTTGACACGGGTAAATCACGGGTTGAACACGGTTTGCTAGAGGCTTGAATTCCCGACCCGTACTTTTCCATGTTGGGGTTGCGTTTTTCTCTACTTCAGATGTATAATGTAGATGTGGTTTCCTGACGGTAAGGCTGAATGGAGGAACATCTAAGAAACATATGATGAAGCAAAGCAAAGTAGGAGAAGTGTTGGAAGCAAGCACTATATCGAATTCGGACAGTTTGTAAGAAAACCCTGGTTTTTTGTGACAAACCCAAGGTTTTTAGCATGATCACGGCTAAACCCAGGGTTTTAGTTTGCACCCGACAAATTTGTAGGGTTTGGAAGCTAAGGGTATATATACACAGTGTAGTGTCGTGTGGATGAGCCAAAACCGATGATATCAGCAGGTTGGAAACGGATATCGCTCATGACTGAGGGCTTGCACACATTGACATATTATAGTATATAGTATATACGTACATATTGTATACATGAAATACAATGAAATATCATATCGTTATTCATCATGTTTGACTTTACATGATGAATCGAATACTCCGTGTGTTTCTGAGGCAGGACATCTTGACTTGGACGATGAATTGGCAAAGCACTTGCCAAACTTTCAGAATCCGAAGGCCTCACGGCAGCTGTGTTCACTGCATTTCCTGCAGTAGGGACATGCGTTTTTCTGCCGAAGCTGAGACTTTCAGAACACGTGTCTTAGGCAGCAGAGCATTGTTCCATAGTGTCTGAAAGTCCTGCTCATAGTCTCATAGACCCGATGCGCTGCTTCTTGCTTGTGAATTCATCAAAAAATTGAAACTTGCAGCATCACCCTTTGCAATTATGCAGATCTTGTACAGAAGCAAAAAGTGGCAAACAAATACAAAGAGACACGTAACATTATAGAAGGTTTTGCAAGCAAGCTTTCGTGTTTCAGGTTGTGACAGAAGGAGATGATGGGATGTGCCTTCCTTAGATATAGATCCACAAGGTAGCTTGTATATGCTTGTATTTCCATACATATCCTTGACGCGTGCGACAGATCACAATCCCACTTTGCTAGTCAAACAGTTGCTGAGAGCAAGTACATTTTAGAGTATCATCAAGCACAAGATGACATTGTTCTATTTGTATCAAAATTCAGGTATAATGATGCGCACCCGCATTATTCAAACGCACCCGTTTTGAGAGTAGTGATGTCAAAATTGATAAGTCATTGGGATGGGGATCGCTTCTGCGATGGATACCGCTACAGTTTGAGAATTTTTGAAGCCCGAACAGATCCGAACAGTTTGTGTTCAAGGGACTGCTTTCCCATGTTTTCCCGCTTCAACACGATCAACACGCCATCCTCAGTACCTGTGAAAAGTCCATGGTCGGAATGGTCGGTGTCACACAGATGCCCTGAGGCCGAACTTTTCAAGGTGCCATGGGCCGGGTGTTGACACGGTGTAGACATGCGACAAAGCATGTCCAACATGCTGAGACTGTCAGGGTCAGTGTGCCTATGTGTGCCTTTATCGTTTCTTTTATGTGAATATAAATTCTGAGTCGAAACCAGCACTTGTAGGGACGGTTTTTGTCGACGCGTGTTTGGTGGCGGTCGCAATGTCAGTTTTTGACCAGATGATGCTAGATAAAAACATAGTGCTTTCATGTGCTTTCACAGACTTGGTTCGGTCGCATCTGACCTTCTATGCAAGTCATTCTTTGGGGACTCGTAGATTTATGTGCTGACACATTTCAAGATTTCAAGTCATTTACGGAGACTTGGGTCCGCACACATGAAAATACAGCAGCTGCAACGCAAGCATGGCATAGGCATTGTGACACTCAGTGATAGACGAGGTGATTCATGAAAGAGCCGGACCGTTCACATATATCTTATGTTACTTTCACCCTTGGCATCCCATGATTTTGTGTCTGTCTGAAAGCCTGATTCATGCGTCTTGTCCCTTGCCCTCCATTCAGATGCAGCGTGTTCAGGCTGACACCTAGCCGCCGTCCCATTCTGATCCGGCATTTGCTGCTTGACTCAAACTTGACCCGGAACGAGCAGGATTGTGCCCCAAATGATTTGACCTAAGATCCATTAAGAATCATTAAGATCCTATGGTCCTATGGTATCCTATGGTCCTATACTGTATTCTGATGTATTCTGAAGATCTAACCTGGTGAAGTCAAAAAGCAGAATGTGGCGAGTGCGCTTCCATGGACACGTTTAAACTATGATTCCTTATGTTTGGAAAGGAAAAACGGCCGATATGACGTTGAGCCATCAAATAGTCAGTTGAGGTGCAGCCAAAGATCAACAAGTGAGGATCGCCCAAAACATTAACCATTCTTAACCATTCAACATCGTCAGTCAAGTTGAGTCGAGCCTTACCCCAAAGTGCTCAAGGCTGACGCACACCTCTGGCATTTCTTGTGGCCTAGCTCCAACCCTGGACGGACCGCGACAAAGGAGTGGAAACATGGTGTCACTCGTAGAATGTTGTTCGTTTGTTCTGTGGCTGAAGCTTCAATACGTTCAATAGACATAGCGGAGTGTCTTACAATGCTCAACACGGTACAACGATTTCATGCAATTTATGTCGTACTCGTAGCAGAGCAACTGAGTAATTACTCTTAATGTCCCTCAATCCTATATCCACTTGAAGATATAGTTGCTTTGATTGTTTGGAACAGCAGTGCCTGAGTTTCATTGCCACGTTTGAAGGAGATGAATTACATCGCTGCAAGCAAGAGTTTCATTCTAATCA